GCGTTAGGGCTTTTTTCCGGTAAGTCGTTCTCATTTTCTCGTCGTCGGTTTCTTTGTTCGAATCTGAGATTGTTTTTTTTCTTAGCTTCTGGGGTTTTGAAATCATCTTCGGTGTAGATATAGTTTCTGGGTTTGATTGATTCGTATTTATCTCCGATTTGCGTTTCCTTCGTGTTGCGTTTCAAGCTTCTTCTTCATCGTCATCGAATAATTTTGGATTTATTACGATTGAAATTTGAATGTGTCACTCTAAATTTGATGGTTCTTCAGTGATTGTAGAATTTAAAGGTCTCTTTGAGACATATAATTAGTTTGTGCATCCATTTTCATGGCTTTGTGTGTGGATATAGGTTTACCTCTGTATTCTGAGGAGTAGTTAATATCCATTAGATTTTTGTTGCGCGTTGTTTTTTGTAGGTGTTCGATAAGTGTGTGTTGATATTTTCTCAAGCATTTTCAAATGGGGGACTCAGAGAATGTGCAGCAAGCTTCAAGAAAGAGAGGTGCTTTGAAGCAGCTGTCTCGTGACAATCCAGGTCTTGATGATTCAGTTGGACTTGAGAGTGGAACTTTCAAGAAGGCTAGTGATGAGGTATTGGCAAGTAGCAGAATTGTCAGAGTTAAGCGCAAAGAGCCACCAGCAGCAGCCAATCCATTTGCTGGAATCCGGTTGGTCCCTGCTTCAACCGATGTGGGAACAAATCCATTTCTGCCTGAATCAAAGTTGACTCCAGCTGTAGCAGTAGTTGAGGATCAAAAGGCAGTTGATTCCGAAGAGGATGATGAAGTTGACAGTAAGAAGGTTGGTGATGATAATCAATGTGGAATGAAAACTGATGACCAAGGTACTGGTGCCGATGTAGACCAGTCGGTCTCAGGTGTTACAAACATTAACAACGCTGTTGAAGGAACAGACGAAACGAAAGATCCTCTTGAGAAGGTTTCAGGAGGTGATCAGACTGAGACAAAAGAAAACGAAGGCGACGAAAGCAAAGAAGCAGATCAGAACGGTGATAGCAATGGCGGTTTGAGTTCATTCCAACAGCATTCAAGTAGCAAAAACGCATTCACTGGACTTGCAGGTACAGAGGCTTCTGGTTCTTCATTCTCATTCGGTGTAGTTTCTCAGGATGGTTCAACTGGTTCTGGGCCTCTCTTTGGCTTTGGCCTTCCTAACAGCATTATCAAGAAGAGCGAAGGTAGTGCATTCCCACCAAAGCAAGATGTTTCCACAAAAACAGGAGAAGAGAACGAGAAAGTTGCCTTCTCGGCTGACTCGATTATATTTGAATATCTTGATGGAGGATGGAAAGAACGCGGGAAAGGAGAACTCAAGGTAAACGTCTCCAGTAACGGTAAAGCAAGGTTAGTTATGAGAGCTAAAGGAAACTACAGGTTGATCTTAAACGCGAGTCTTTACCCGGAAATGAAACTAGCAAGCATGGAGAAAAAAGGAATCACATTCACTTGCGTGAATAGTATAGGCGAAGGCGAAGGCAAAGAAGGTCTCTCTACGTTTGCGCTGAAGTTTAAAGACCCGGTAATCGTCAAAGAGTTTCGTGTAGCCGTTGACAAACATAAAGACAGTAAACCGATGGAAACAAATGCTCTATTAAAGACACCTGAGAACTCTCCTACAGCTACAGATACTTAAACAAAGGTAAAAAAAACGAAGAACATGTAGGAACATTTCTCTCTGTCTTGTGTCTTGTTTTGGTACTTTGAAATTGTTGAATTTTTGAAGCAGAGAAAATCAGAGACTTGTGAGAAGTTTATTTCTTGTTTTTCCACAATTGTTGAGACTTTTTGGTTACATGTTCCTGTCTTAAATCTGCTTATTGATCTCTTGCATGTTCCATTTACAAGCAAATTGTTCATGAATTAATCAAGTAATCAATATCTGATCTGGTTTTATAAAAGGTCAGGTACTATAAAGATCGGATTAGAATTGCAATGGCTTACCAGAATCTTAAAATTAGTGCTAACCAGTGCAAGACCGGGCCGGTACAAAGTCTTTACCATTTTTGATATGCAATTTTCTTTTTCTTATATACCAAACTTTCTTTTGATATGTCAATTGGTTTTGGGTGCTTTCCTTTTACATTGGGTCTAAGAGTTTTTCTTTTTTTGCATTAAGTTTATATAAGAATTTATTATCATATTAGCACTACTAGTCAAAGTTTTGCATAAAATCGACTGAAAGGTGTAATAAAATCTCATTTACCTTGTGACTGTGAATATCTCGACCAACAAAATAACATTTGAGAAATAAAAAGAGAAAAAGAAAGAAAGAGATGAGGACACTTTTTTTGTCTTTAATACGTATTAATTACACACAGAATATTTTGCTCATTGAATTGTATTCAGATTAGTCACTACAAAATGTGTTATCAGTTAGAAAATTGGTTTACCTATAAGTAAAAGGCAAGAGCTCGAAAAATAATTATAAGTGGCAACAAGTCATTTGTTATGCTTATTGAAAAGAGACAAGTAGGTGATGATTATCCGGCTAGAGTTAGGATCGATCAGTTGTGAAGATTCCTCCTCCGATAAAGTGGTAACATTCTTGCTGATGAACACACAACTTGAATGCAAGTTTTGGATTCTCAACGGTTTCGAATAAGTAAGGGCCGGCCCTGAGATTTTTTGGGCTCGAGATAAATTAGAAAATGAGGCAAGTATTGTATATCATGAAAATTGAATAAAAGAAATCTCTTATAGAAATATGTTCAAATATAAAAAAAGTGCTCAACAAAACACAATTTTCAATTAAATTGTTTGTAAATAATTAAAAGTTTCATTTGGCTTGGCCCAGGACCGGCTCTGAGTAAAGGAGATGCATAAAAATAATACCTCTATGCCACCGCCTTGAGAGAAAACTCGAAGATACCTTGGGAATTTTTTCTAATGCACTTCAATATGATATGCTTGCCAATAGATAACACATTTGAAACCTTGGATACCTGAACATAAGCCACGTATTCCATTCAGCTAGCTCAATACAACAATACACACCAATTTCTTTCAATGTAGCTTTTCATTAGACAATCCGCAAGCGCAAAGTAGGCCACAACGATCACCATGGTATTCGATCACCGCCGCTCCCTCTCCAATTGATTTCACTATGCATTTATACATTTCACCGACTTCCAGAATACTGTTGATTAGGGGCATCTGAAGACATAATAAAGTCAGAATCAAGATGTTCAAGCTTGCTAGTTCGCCCTCTTTTGCAAATGCGTTTTTGACATCTTTTACAATGTGATTGAGAGCCTCACCACCTTCAAACTGTATATATAAAATTATCAGGCCAATTGAAATTCAAATTTGAGACTCGAAGTCACCAACATGTTCAATACCCGGTTTAGTCGTTCTTTCACTCAACACTTGAAGTCGTACCATAACCAATCTAATAACCGTGAAGTAGTCTTGAATCACGAGCTCTCTGATCTCATCCACAGTCTTGCCTTGGAACCGAGGTGGAATCTTCGGTCTGGTATCGGTTTGTCTCATAATATATGCTCGAAGAAAGTCACAAGAGAATCGGTTTGTCTCATAATATATGCGGTTTGGTAAGATCAGACACAATTTTTCTCTTTGGATAGCTCTTTTGAGCTCTCCTTTAAATTTGGAAAAGACCCTAATACCTTCGAAATCCATGAGAGACAATCCATATACGATGCATACCTAAATTGTTTAAAAAAACAAAAAAGAATTAAAAGCCGTTTAATAAACAAGAGATTAAAATAATCCATGTCAATATGAAACATTCCAAATTTTTAGATAAATGTAGGATCAGTTATAGAAAAATGGGAAAAAGAAAGAGTAAATTACCATCTAGCCCATTGAGACAACTCTAGTGTAAGATAAAAAGATTTGTCTGTGAAATCATTGAGCTTTAGATTGTTCAGACCACAATCTAGTCCTCCAAACATGTCTCTTGATGATTTGATAAGTTTGTGAAAGACGATGAACGTTTTGGTGGCGACGAAAGCGTTCTTTGTGACGGTAACCTCCATAGAGCCGCCGCGAAAGCCACCATAACTTTAATATTTTTAAAGTAGTTGATTAGTGACTGCAATTTTTTAGTTAGTATATTATCATGTTTTTTAGTTATAACAGTGATTTATGGTTAGCAAATTGTACTTGTGAAGACTTGGAAAAAACATTTTCTGAATTTGATGCACACATTTGAATGCTTCTCGTCATCTTATAGATTTTGTTCAGTGTTTGTACAAAATCGAATTGTGATCTATGCCTTAAGAATGAGTTTAATTTAAAGTCGAGCATCATACTCTAATGGATATACTCTAATGGATGGTTTGTATAAATCAATTACTTTGCCTATGTTCCATAACTTTCCTCATTGATTTAACCTTGTTTTTCTTACTTATTTTTTTTTATTAGTCTTGTTTAGTTGTTTTATTATTTACTTTGTTTGTTATTTGCTTTCCTTTATCTATATTAAGGATAGTGAAAAGGTATAATCTTCCCCTCAAAATGCCATGCTCATCTCTGGAGATGGTGGGTTTCATGATGATCTTACCAAAATCTAAGATAAAATTTACTTTATTATGTTAGTGTCTCGTGATTAAATGATTTCAAGTAAATTCAATCATTTTGGTAATTTATAATAGAATTGGGCCTACGAGAAGTAAGCCGAATATTCATAAGAAGCATAGAGCATAATGTTTTTGTTATCCATTTATGTATGCTATATTCTATCTCTCTTAATAATTTTATACTCTTTCATAAATTATGTTTCTTTTCTAGAGAGTATTATATTTCTTTTCTTTTAAACCTAACGGACCGAAACTGCTAAAACCAAACAAGTAGTAAGAAGAAAACACCAACCAAAAATAATTCATGAGAACAAAATGAATCAAAACACCAAACAAAAATTATTGACTAGAAAATCCCCAAATCTAGAATTGAGAGCATGCGTATTATCATGTTGAAATCTAGAATGTAACAAAACCAACTATGTTACTTTATCTGAGTTATATATACGCTTATCAACTTTGGTTTTGTTACATAGTTGATAGTACGTAACTTATTATTCATGACCCATGTTTTTGATTACATGTTGACGCCTGATCTGATTTAAGATGCAATAATCTCGCTGGTTTACTCATTTTCATGATTTAATTTGAATTTCTGGCTAAAGATCCTACAGAATTTCGTGCTTTTACATGTAAAAAAGTTGTGTAGAATGTTTCTTTTTTTGTATTTTTAATTAGATATATTTTGTATACCAAATTGATTTGCCATTTGATACATAGGGATCAATTATGGCAGATGGCCTGTAAAGAGC